CAATAACCAATTATGTCTCTACAGAAAATGGCATCTGTGAATATGCCTGTGGCTAGATGGATGGTATACAGTACGTGGGGCTGAGAAGGGCAGAGTCACTCTAGAAATCAATAGGAAATAGAACTGCCTGTGCTAGGTATTTTGTTCCTCATCCTGCCTCCTGGGAAATAGAGCAGATGCAGGATAAGGAGAGATGATCTTATTCCCAGGGCTTTGGATATGAATTCTCTCTCCTTGCTCCTCCCACAGCAACTATGTACTGTGAAGTTTTTGCTTCAGTTTCAGGTGTTGTAATTCCTATCTTTTCTGTTGTAATTCTGTCTTTTTTTATCTGCTTTAATGAATCATTTTCTTGCCAGTTCACAGAGAAATCCATTGAAAAGCATTAAGTTCAAAGACATGCCATGGACACACTCTTCTGTATCTTCACAATGATACAGAAGAAAACAAGATATGTACATCGCTGCTATCAAGTCTTAGACTTAAAACATTAGTGAGATGATTGCCTAATTCACTCCTACAGGATGGATGGTGTGTTTTATCTCTACAACCCTGTCTGTCAGTTACCTAAGAGTAAATATCCTTGAAGAACTCAATCTGTGGACAGTCTCCAAAAGGTCTAGAGCAGAGTCTGATACCCGAGATTGAGAAGGGGTGGAGAGAATGGTTTTTAATCATCTTTGTGCCTTCCCAGTCCTATACTATTCTCTGCTCCCTGTGTGATTTAGACAACCACAAGGGCCTGGTTTCCATGTGATAGTCCTGCCCAGGACCTCCACAGGGTCCATCTGTAACCTAGCCCATCCACACTTAGTATAGCCCCTATATTAGGGGATGTGAAAGGAGGCCTTAGAAACTAGCCTTGTAGGTGTCAATTTCTGAAGAAAGGAATTCCTCATACATCTGTGTAGAGGTGTTTTGGAGAACAGTATACAAAAAAAACATTGAGGGGATGCTGTTAATTTGTCGAGTTTGGCAGATACTGCTGCATCATATCATGTTCTGAAGGTTTTCCTTGTGCCAAAAAGGCTAGACTCAATTTAGGTAAGTTGTAATTTATGCAGAAACTGGCTAAGAAGGCAGTTACCTCATCAGTATGTAGACCATCACAGATATTCTGAGGCTACAATTTTGCTTCAGAGGACAAATAATTAAAGATAGCAATTTAAAGCATGACTCCTTGACCTTTGACCTTAGTGGCCAGCTGGGCATAGTACAATTCACAGAAAGTAGAACTTGTAGTAATTTCTTTCAAGGAAGAAATCCGTGCCACCATGGTTCTCTACAACACCAGCATCACCTAAAACACCAGGACTGTTTGAGGCCTTTTGATTACACGGAGCAGTTCACTCTGTCACATCAGTTAACAACAGTCTCCTGGCGAAGTTCTGCGGAATTGCTGAAACATGCCATATGCAGTACTTTGGATTTTGAATCTGTGTATTCCAACATTAAATTATTCCTTAATACTTAAAATAATAATTATGTTTTAATGAAAGCTGAAATACATTGAAATTGTTTCAAAGACATATATAATGAGTTTTACATAGTTTATGAAACCCTGCGTATTGAAAAGAATGTAACTGTAAACAGGAACTGAAACATGCCTCAATAAACACTAGGGGAAAGCTGGGAAAAACTGATATATATAAATCAGCCATGAAAATGAAATGTACTGCCTACACAGTGTTACACTTGTTATTACATGCTGAAGGGCCACAAAGTACACCATCACCATATGTTTGAAAACTGTCATGACTCACACAGAATAGACTGATGAATAATAGTATCTTCCTTCATCAGCATATAACACTGACCAGAAATCTACCCAGTAAATGGTTCTGTTGTGGGCAGCAATTTAACATGCCCCATATCCTTATAATTAACTACATAACCATAAAAACGTTACTGCCAGGTTTATCGTGCACCAATGCAGAAAGCACTCTAAATATCTTTAAAGGACTGTTCACACATTTGTCATTTCCCATCCCACTCATTTTGCAACCAAAGGAGGCTGGAATGCTGTGTGACTGGCATTCTCATTAATTTCACTTACCTTCCTTTCACTTTGAATTTTTGGTTGTGAACTCTGTTGGGTAGTGCCCAAAACCAAAGTTCATATTGTAAATAAGTGAGATTGCTTTTCTAATTTACATGTAAACATATAATAGAACTAAAAGTTGAAATGACATTGTCAATTACATATGAAATCAAACACCGAGTGCTAAGTGGCTGTTAGATAATACCTATAAATTATAGACTCAAGACAGTAATAAGCTGCTGCTTTTAGAGGAAGTGTGAACCTCATGATTCAAAAGCTTGAAAAAAATCCTCCCAAGATGGAAACATGCCCTGTCCAGTGGCAACTCTTCAGCCACATTCTCCCAGCATCAGGCTATTTTACTCGGTCCTATGGCAGTCAGATTTATGGCTGCAATACCGTGGTAACTGTTAAGCATGCCCAGCAAGTCTCCACGTGTCACACTGAGTAGACCAGACCCCTCTTTTCCTAACAGCAAAAGCGGCACCAGGGAAGAAGCAGCAGAGGAGCACAGCAAATTAATTTTGAGCATCTCTTGTCAATTAAAATTGCTCTCTAATATCCTATGGCAGAACTGATTTTTTCTTTGAAGTGAGCTCAAATTCTCCTTTGACACAAATTAGCACCTGTGGCTATTTACTCATGTCAGCTTAGTATTTTGTTCTGGTTTTTGTGGTGGAATTTTTCATGAGGCCTGAGGAAACTGGATGTTTTCCAGACATCACATTAAAAGTGAAATATTATTTTTGTAAATGTGAGAAGAAGATTGGTAAATCCAGAAGACATTTTCTTACATATTCACTGGAATTTAGTTTCCATTTTGTCTTTCAGTCTCATAAAATTTTGCACAAATAAGGGTTTTCTACCAAGTATTTATAGTTTCTACAGCTACTAAGGTCAGAACTGTCTTGACTTCATTTGTTACAGAATACTTATGCTGTGTCATACCATCTATTTTCTATATGACACTCCAGAATAATAAAATCACTTGGAAAGCAATCAAAGCAGTCAGTCTCTTCTGAAATTTGCAATTCATGGATTTTGTCTTCTAATATAGCCTTGACTACAAAATCTGTTTTGCAAAACGCACACCCCCCCCAAAAAATCCTGACTTCTAATTATTCAAATCATTCTAGAAATGAAAATCTGTAACTTTTCTGGAACCCTTTAAAAACAGCCAATGTATGCTACACACTGATCATCATATGAGAAGTTTTCCACGGCAGGGATTTATTACAAAGATGGAGCTAAAATCTGTCAACAGGAAGTTCTTTAACAAATGAGATATGAATAGTGACCTGAATTCCTTATGATTCTGAAACTTGCGTTTTGCCTGTTAATGTGTTTTGGCTCAGCTGAATCATATCAGTGGGTTCGTTGGAGGCAGCGGTGTGAACAGAATACTGCTAAATGACAGCAATTCTTGACTGGCATGGGGGCTGCTGGAAATTCATGCCAGTCATGGTCCACCAAAGTAGCTTCAGGGCTACTCCAGCTTAGGCTGTGTGCTAATTGCCTCCTGGCAGTCTCAGGAGATGCATACAGTCATTCTTGCTGCCTCCTGCCATCTCAGGCCCTGGTCACAACACACCTGGGACCACCCCTAAGGATGAGAACCTGCATACACCAGAAAGCAAAATCACTGTGCCTTTCCCTGCAAAATATAAGAAACTCGATTAAATGGGTATCTGGTTTGAATTAGTAAAACACAAGCAGCTGTATGAAACGTGGACCATGTCTTCAGAGCATTTACATGGCTTCTAAAACTGATTTTGACTGTGGGTAGTACTATACAATATTTCTCCTGAGTAAGACCACACTGAAAAAGGGATCATGGAATTTTTTGCCTTTACTATTTCTAGCAAAAAGTACTGCTTTTGCACTTCCACAGCATCTCCTATTTGAATATATCAGTCAACTAAATCTCACAGTACTTGGGTAAATCTTAATCCATTAATGAATGCAAAGTCAAGGCACAAAGAAGTGATTTATATAATAATGAATATTAATGAGTGTGTATTTCAAGATTATTACATTCCATGCACTTACAAACTCTTTTTAAGAAATAAACTCATAAGAAATAAAATAACTTTTGTTTTTTTTTTTTTTTTTTTTTTTTTTTGAGAAATGAACCCGAATATACAATTATGGGGTTATTATTCTGGGAATTGGTTTACAACAATCAGTGGATATAATTTTTAATATGAAAATGTTATTCATGCATATTACAGTTCCAGGCATATATTATCCTTTCCTGAAAACATTTCAATCTCCCAGTCTTTATGCAAATACTGTCCCATGGGCTCTGCGCAGGATGTAAATTAAGTTCTTGTTTGGCTAAATCTGATTACCATGTAGGGTACCAATCTTGCTTAGTGATAGTGGAAGCTAAATATTGCAAGCAGAACAGTCCCTTTAAAATGGGGCCAGGAAGGGTCAGCATCTAAATAACAAATCTGAGTTTTGAACTAGATTTTAATTTTATCCCTAAGAATGTTCAGTTAAACATAGAAGCTATCTTCTCAGTAGTTGCTACCATTACTATTAAAACTCCTAATGAAACTAAGAAATGCATTTTTTTTTAAGATGTACAGTTCTTTATTAATCCTATATTAAGGTGCTACAATCACTTCAACCCAACCTTTAGTTGGTCTGCCTCTCAATCCCCATTTGACACTTCCTCTTACTCCTCTCATATTCTATCAAAGTTAATGCTCCAGTAGAGAAATTCAGTGAATAGCAAAAACCCACACAGGTTATCAGAACCACCCCAAGTCAATACAAACTATCTAAAATTATTTTAATATTACCAAAATATTGTTGCTTTATTATGAACTTACTGGGTGCATAAGACAGATTAAAAAGGCACATGCTGACACTACTAAACATGAAATACTGCTGTTCCTTCTGACAGGATTAGCTAAATACCTAAATGATAAGAACACTCCCCTGTATTTTTCTTATACTCAGAAAATGTGCACAGAAAAGTCACTCTTTGATCTATTTCACTAGCTTCAGTTACTGTAGCAGGCCTTTGTACACATAAAAAAATTATTTTTAGTAGTCTGTGGCAGCTCCTTATTCTTCCTTTGATGTATAAAGGATTTATGATCAATAATATCTGAAAGCAGCTGGCCTTATTACAACTGCTCTGAGTCAAGAAAAAAAAAAACAGAAGTAATGCAACAATAGCAAAAACGATATGACTTTTGGCTGTCCCAAAAATGTAATTATCTCAGTAAATGTATGTGGTTTTCGTAATGAGACTCAAAATTTCAGATGGATTATTTTTAATAACATCTTTTCACAGTGGCTTTATTAGATATTCTAAATCAGAGCTCAACACTTACCTAATAGATAAGTACCTCACTCCTTCAATAGGCTTTACATGAAGGGACTCAGTGCTCCACACAGAATCTTAATGAAGGCAATGCCATAAAGGCACGAACTTTACCTACAAGCAGCTCAGAGCAGAATCCTAGCACAATCCATCATATGCTGATTATATTTTTTGGGGGTGGCCAACACTAAAATTACATGTTCAGAGAACAGTTATAACTATGAATTGACTGAAGCACAATCCAAACCTTCCATCTGAATTCCCACATCTCCCTCATGCCAACAGCAGAACGCTTATATCTGCATGATGAGGCATATTAATTCAACTGACATCTAGTAACACTTTTTGTTGGATTAGTTCTAGTAGTGATCAATTTCCTGATCTGGTTCAGCAGGCAGACACAAAAACGTCTGTGTTAATAAAAGTGAGCCACTCGGAAGATGAAAATGCTTCTTTTGATTGACCTCTACCCACTTAAAGCATATGTGAAACTACCTTCGGAATCTTATGCATAGGCTGTCAGAACATATGGCTATCAACCACCAGTCCATTGGGGTTCTGGTCTCTGCCTTTCAGGGGTATTTTCTTATATCATCCTACCATTCTTTTACCTTGGAACTATTTATTAAAGTGTCCATTTGCATTGTGGTCAAAGCTTATATACCCTAAGATACGATTTACTGTAAAGCCCTGAAGAATTACATTACATACCCACAGTGGTCTATTTAAAAAAATTATTTTCCTAAAGAAACGTGGCATTTTGTAACTTTTTAATAAATATATACCTTTTACAGTACTGATGCAATGAATAACACTCACAAATATTATTTTCCTAGAAGTGTTGGCTATCACCTCAGCAAACACTATTAATGACTGTTTTCATTTATTAATAACACAAGTTAAAACCACAATTCAGTGACTGTTTTAGCCCCAATGATGATACCATCATTGTATGAAACAGTGCAATCTGCTACTCTATCATTAATATTTATTTCATCTTGCAAAGGAATTATTACAGTTGATATTGATGAAGCTCTTTCTGCTCCAGCTGAAAAAATAAAAAGCTGTGAATAAATCATGTCATGTTTAGATATGAAAAACAGGTCAATGGCCTCTGAGCTGATGTTTCCAAAAGCAGAACCTTCCCTACAGCATAGCTTTAGGGAAACACGCTTCGTTTGACAACATACATTCTTTTTAACAGAATCCTCTTAGTAGGTACTGTATCAAAAAAATCATTTAACTGTATAAACGGACAGAGAGAAAATTTTGAGGAATGGAACTTCTTTTAAATTACAGATATATGGCATAACATGTTAAGACTTCACTTAAACCAACCTCCTTCCAATTGATGTTAGATACCTAGAGGCCAGAAAAATCACCCTGAGGTGAGTTGTTTTGAGTGCCTCAGAGAAACTGGTGAGAATAGCACATTTTTTGAAAGAAATTAACGAGCAGAAAGCAGTGCGTATTAGTGCTAATGTTGCTCTCCTCCATACAGCCAAGTATCAGTTTCCTTTTCTACCAAGATTAAGTGACTGGCAATGCATCTGTTTTATTGCTCAGCAACTAGAATCTTTACCAATCATAGGTTAGAGGAACTCTTGTCCAAGGGGAGCACATTTCTTTTAATTGAAACAAAATTATCTAAGAAGATCCTATTGCATTAGTAATTTATATGAAATATATCTTCAATCTTTATTAAAATAGGAAATAATCACACTGAAAAGAGGATTATTCTAAACTGATTGTACATATACTCACAAATCATACGCGTTCCTTCAGCCACGTTGTATTACTTGTGGATAGCTACTGCCCCAGACAGTAGTCAACTGCCACAAAATGAGGCATTTTTGGTTTTATATACTAATATGGTTGGTGGAGACATCATTCTCTGACCTGAGTTCAGGTACAGCATACTGAATCACATGTTATTTAGGAGCTATGACTCCGCGGTAAAAATGTGACAGTTGTAATCCCTTCCATTTAACGTAAACGAGGAACAGCTTTTGACGGTTTTCTCAGTTGTGTTTTGGTTGGGAAATATTTTAGATATTCTTGGAATAAAGGTAAAGGAAATCTACATAGTGATTATAAATTAATACCAATGGTAACTTTTATTTACATAGTTTAACAAACAGATTCAGCAATTATTACATTAGTCATTCAGATTCTGAAGATCACTATAAATAACAAATTTATAGCAGGCCTAGCTAGTGTTGCATTCTTCATGGAGCCGTGATCACTAATTTCCAACATTTTTCTTTTTCCAACGAAGCCGCCTCAGAGCTCTCGCCAGTGCTACTTGTCCCATGAGGAATGTGATAGTAAAGTTACGTTTATACCAATCTCTAGGATTCCAAAGCCAGGAAAATCATCAGCACACAGAACAAGAACAGGAGAAAGGTACACGATTATATTAAAATATCCTTTGGCATTGACAAATGACAATTCAGTAACAACATCATTTTCCATTCTTTGTGGCAATGCTTTTCCTGCTTAATTAGAGTTAAATAACCTATGAAAACGTCTATGTGAATATCGACATCCATGAAGACATTACATGTAGACTGTAGGGCTACAACCACTGAGAGCTTAACTGTAAAAAAAGTTAAGTGATGAGTAGTTTTATGACCAATTGTATTTGGAATCAGGTAAGATAAAATTATTGTAACCGTATCTCATGTTTCAGAAGTAAAGCTGATTGATCATCAAGCTATCTAGAAGAATTTCCTGCCAGTGCTGTGCTATGGGTAAGATTTGTTTGTGCATGTATGAGGATTCGTGTGTTGGAAAGGGCATAGCTGGTCACCTATAAAGGGGGGGAAAATAAAAAAAAAAAGACACTTTAAAGACTAATTATATAACCCAATACAGGAAACATTAGGTTTCTAATGCAGTACCCTTTAAAGATGATGGCTTTAATATTCCCAATGTTAGTGTTTATATCTTTAAATAATTTTTATGCAGCATGCATGACTTCTGGAGCCAATTCAAGATATAGATGAGAGAGTCCGTATCAAACCTTTTTAACCTCTGAGAACTTGCTTCAAATTCTTGCCCTTGTTACAATCTAATTTCATAATTTCTTTCTAGTTTCCAACAAGGATCACTCCCCCATTTTTTAAACTGCTGCATGAGAAGCAACAGAATATGTTTATCGTAGAACTAGCAGGGAATATTAAACACTGGGATTTAGGTCTTCTCTTGAGCTCTCTGTGGGAAACCTTGCATGTACAGATCTAACATAAACCTGAGATACTAACCTCTCAGTAAGGATAGTAGCAAAAATCATGCTGACAAGCAGCACTGAGCTACCCCCTCAAATGTCATGTTAAATGAAAATATCATGCTAACATTGCAACTGTTTCTTTTCCCCTTTCATGTCTCATTTCCTATATCCTTCTTGAATTTTTTTTTCCTAAACTAGACTGTATTTCAGTCTAAGTACCCTGAACTAAATATTCATGGTGTCTGTGCACAGTCATTGCTTCAATTTTAACTAAATTTTAGAAGTTGCAACACTTTAGCAGCCACCGTTTTCAGGCCAGCTGGCAACACTGCAAAAGAACATCCAGCTGAAGGCATAAACAGATTTTTTTATAAACATGACCCCTCAAAATCAGAATGCCTGTAAAAAGCTCCACTGCTTTCAGGGCTGTGCAGTTCCACTTTGAAACTACAATGACGCAACTTACACTACCTGATTTTACAAGGCAGCAACAAGGAAGGTCATGTTTAGGCACAAAGCCTGAACTCTCTTACCGTGAAGACGGGACACTATCCTGAGGTCAGTACAACAATGGCATCTGGTGACAAGTTCTAAGATAAACTATTTGCTTTCTCACTCATCCGTTATAGGCAATTTGAACAATCCTCTTATTAAAAAGAATTTTTTTACTTTCCATCTTTTCAGGCTGTTGCTTATGTTTTTGCTGATGTTGCCCCCCACACCACACCCCCCCCATGGGCGAGACAAGACATGCATATTTCTTTTAAATATTTGTTACAGTAAAATTGTTTTTACAGTGTAGTATGTTATGGTATATGCACAATACGTACAAAGAATCCTAAACCACAGTTTGTTACAGATCAGTTATAGCGATGGTAGAATTCTTACTAGCATTACACCATTAGGAACCTAGTAATACTTGACACATTTAGCCCAATAATCTTTCAATCCAATACAGAGAAGAAACTGAAGTTGTGGTTTCATATTCAGTGGGCAGTGCTACTGTAACTGGATTAAGTGCCACCCTCATCCAGCTTACCATTCCTTCCTCATTTCTAGCCCTCTACCAAGTGTGCACAGCTACTGGCAGGGTAATGCATGTTTGCAAGTCATTTTTCAGTTGTTTCAGATCCCCAATCCAGTTTATCAAGTTGTTGTACAAACAGTAACACTGAAACAATGCAGTAGATGTTATGAAGCAGCATGGTGGATGTGGGGTTACCCAGTTGTAGCTAAGGTTCTACACAGGATGAGTTCAGGCGACCATTTTACTAATGCTTGGCCACACAAAAGCCCCCTCAAACTCAACTAATCACTTTCATTTTTACTATATGCTTGCAAAATAATAAAAACAAGAATGCTAAATATTACTCTCACTAAACAATTTTCATTTGAGATGAATCACATTTACTAGTACTTATTTAACAGTCAACTAAAATGTTATAAAAAAATTAACTGTTTTATTTGCCTATTTATCAGTTTCAATTAGCAGCATGAGAAGACCCATGCCATAAGAGAAAAAAACTGAGTGCCTGATCTTGTCTCTCTGAATCTCAGAGATGAGATTCATCTCTCCACTAAATCAACAATAAGCAGTAGAACTCCTCAAATGATAATGCAAATTTCTGTCAAATGCTAATAATAGCATTTAAAAAAATAATTTTCTAAAATTATAGTTTTAGGTGCTGTTTTACCAATTATGGAAAAAAAAGTTTGAATTTTAAATTTGATCTTATGCCTTTCACTTAGACTGTAATGTATAATAGTCAACATAAATACCTTCTACATACCTGTTGTACTCCATATGCTTTCTAAAATTTTTACTTAGAAAGTCCTTGTAAAAGTCAGCCATTTCTTCCACGTTCAGTGTTGCTTTTTGACCTGAAAATAAGTTTTGGCGTAACAGCAGATTAAAAATACTGATCATCTTGAAGCTGGCATAACTCTTAAGCCCTTATTACTTGTGAAAGTGATTATGTTCATAGAATCATTAAGTTTGGAAAAGACCTCTAAGATCATCAAGTCCAACCGTCAACCCAACACCACCATGCCCACTAAACCATGTCCTGAAGTGCCACGTCTATGCGTTTTTTGAACACCTCCAGGGATGGTGACTCCACCACTTCCCTGGGCAGCCTGTTCCAATGCCTGACAACCCCTTCAGTAAAGAAATTCGTTCTAATATCCAATCTAAACCTCCCCTGGCGCAACTTCAGGCCATTTCCTCTCGTCCTATCACTAGTTACTTGATAGAAGAGACCAACACCCACCTCACTACAACCTCCTTTCAGGTAGTTGTAGAGAGCCATAAGGTCTCCCTTCAGCCTCCTTTTCTTCAGACTAAACAACCCCAGTTCCCTCAGCTGCTCCTCATAAGACTTGTTTATCAGGTCTTAGATTATTTAGGGAACTAGTAGACCCCTGTGAAAAAGTCCATAGATCTAGAAGTATCTATCCTTTGAGTAAAATTAATCTCTTGTGGGGCTGAAGTCTAAACAGCACCAGTAAGAGCACTCAGTAACTTAAATTTCCCCCTAAAGGAAGTCAGTAAATAGGGAAAGAACACTATCCATGACTGACATGATATTTTCAGATGTACATTTTTTTCTGTTGCTGTTGATAAATTTCAAGTAACTTATACCAAAGAGTGTATCTTCTGATATGTCAGATTTATTAACAATATAGTAGACAATTATTTTGTGAAGAAGCAAGTACAAAAGATGACTTTGAATATGCCACTCTCATAAGCAGAATATAAGAGGAGATGGATTCTCTCCACAGAACATGAGAGGAAAACCTGTGGCTACAGCACAGAGGTACCAGCAAATATTCTCAACTCTACCAGATAATTCCTATACAAACTTTCTGGCACTTTCAGTGTTTCCAAAATGAGGGTCAAATTTGAATGTCCCATAGGGCGTGGATATGATAAGGGAGATGGAATTGTGATACTCAAGTGTTCCAAAATGCATTTTAATGCTCCTGAAACTGATCACAGAAGAGTAAATTATTAATCAGTTCTATTTGTCATTATTTACAAATCTAATATATTACAATGGATTAACATACTATGGGATAAATTTAAGACTATTTGAAGGCTGCCTACTTAACAACTATAGTTAATTTGTTTCTTCACACTGGTAGCAGAACTGATCGTAGATTCACTTATATAAAAAGCAAGTTGTTTTCCAACTGTTCATGTATATTGTTATTAATCTTATTTTTATATACAAACGCAGCTGTATTACAGAACACAGTTAATCAACACATGCAGCCAATATAATTTCATTTCTAAGGGATGTACATGCTTACTATTTTTTCTTTTATTTTTAGGGTATAAAAACAACCCCCTCAAAAACCAAACCAAACCCTAAATGGCAATATAAAAGCAGTGTTTTCTAAACAACACAGAACTTAACTAAAATTATTTCTCAACCACACACTGATCACCAGGATACAAACAGAAGAGCAAAATAATGGTCTGCGATATACAGAACATCAGAGCAGATGCTTTACTAAACTCAAACAGATCATTATTCTGTGAAGAAAATGTTCAACCTTCTACTACAATGGCCAATTCACTGTTATTATGAAGGCATCCTGTTTCCAGTTTCACGTTCACATAATGAATTAGGGAGGCAACTATTTTACAGCAACTGTGCTCAGGCAAAGACAGGCAGATAGCAGCTGCTGTCTCCTCAGAAGCTGTCTTATTCTGCCTCAAGGAAAAATATTGTATTAATTGTATACACTATAGACCTGAAGCCAAAGAGTGTGAATTTATCCACCCAACTATAATATGCACTCGAGGCAAATGCTCTATATGTTTAGCTCAGCTAGCTCACTAGGTTAGGAGGTGTGAAAGGAAAAAGTCCCTTCCTCCTTAGACTACAGAATCATTATATTACTTGGCTAGGATTTCAGCACATTCCCTCCAGCTGCAGGGAAAACAGTGCAGCAGATAATCTGACCCTACATGCAAATCTCTGAAGAGCTCCTCTCCTCTTTTTTATCATGCTCCTGAAAACACTTCTAAATCCTACTCTCAAGATTACTTGTGACAGAACACAAAGAGCATAAACTAACAAAATTCAAAATTAAACAGAATTCATAATGCATCCTAAACTATAAACAAAGATCTCACTAACCTGTTTCATCTCTCATTTCCACACCCTTGGCTTTCAGTCTTGAATAAATAAATTCTTCTTTTTCCTAAAACACGTTTTCCCACATTAGAACCTGAAGCACTCAGTCCTTTACGTTAACCGTTGTTTTTAATCAGATAACAGTGTAGTGCTTAATACCCTCTGAAATAACAGGCAATACTCATTACACTTGGAAATGTCAACAAAACATTTTCCTGAATCCAGTGAGTTAGTTAAACCAGTAACTTTGTCACCGAGATCCTGCTACCTGCATGCATCAATTAATTCATGCAAGTGTTCTACTGAAACATATAAAACTTATTTGTGAAGTTACAGCTGAGATTCAGTATTGTTTGACAGGATCCGAACCTTCAGTTTATAACACAAACTATGAAGATCTACTGTATTGTATAACTGAGAATTTGAGCATAGAGGAAAACATGCAGCCTTAAAAAAATCGAAATTACTTAGATGGAAACAGAATAATTATTTGTATATAAGTTTTGAAAACTTAAAAAGTAGTTCTATGGAATTACAAAATAAGCTTTGTTTTTTCTCTGAGATCTTTCCAAGTTTTGGGAGGATATGATGATTAAAGATTATCACAAGTGATGGTGAATTACTGAACCGTTACTGTTCTTCCAACAAAATTCAGTGTCTCCTAACCAATGCTGCAATCAGAAAAGAAGACAGACCATGACTGTGAAGTCCCCACTTGTAGCTTTGTTGGGGTACACTGCCAGTGAAACAGGCCATGTCCCTCATTTACCTTTAGTGATAATACCTAATTTCTCTCACTTATGACAGAGCAAGAAGAGCTGCAGAATCATTTTCAACAGCCACTCTAGTCACAGACAGGTCTTGCGTGTAGGGTGGCTACAACTTTATGTTTTCAGTGCAAGATAGGAAAAAGGCAAATATCATTATAAAGCTACTAAACAGCAATAAAAGACGCAGGCTTTTCGGTTTTGTACATCATTTTAAAGAAATGAATGACAAAAAAGTAATTTCCAGAAAGACACTGTGTGTATTAAAGGAAACAGTATCAATTACCAGCCAGCAACAGTGGGCAGAACTGAACCCTACCTCATGGAGACCAAACCCCCCCCAATTTCGGGTGGGCAGGCGGGAGCCAAGCGGCACCAGGCGTCACGACAGGCTCACCTGGTGGAAGGTGCGATTGTGCCGTGCCCAGAAGCGCTGGTTGCAGGCCTGGGCCTCCTGCCGGGCCTCCCGCAGCCGCCGCTCCAGAGGTGACTCCTCGGGGGGCACGTAGAAGATGACCGGCCGCAGGTTGGAGTGCTTGTCGGGGGGGCCAATCCAGTCGTTATGGGAGTGTGCTGGGGGGCTGAAACCCAGGCCCTTGAAAATACAGGCAGAATTCATTATGACCGCTTTAGCAGAGTTTTTGAAGAACATCCCAATTTGAAATAAATTCCACAACTCCCACACAACCTTAAAACACAAGAGCACAACAAGTTCAGAAATTACGTAGATTCGTTTACCCTGACTGAAAACCACTTGATACATTTAAAATTTACATTTATTTAGAAATGCACTACAGAGAAGCCTTTGACTCTTTCCCAAGACACGAATCATGATTTTTCTTTCAAAAGCAACTTTTTTTTTTTTCCCCCTCCATTTTTCTATCACTGACGTTGCACTTCGTTAAAATATTTGATGGCAAGAACTAACAGGTGTGTAAGTCTCCCTAAGCCCTGCTTTCTTCCTGCACCCGTGTGACCACGCACAAGCGCGTAGCTTTTCGGGAAGACCCGGCTCGGGCAGCCCGTACCTCCCCGCTCCGCTTGTAAAAGCGTTTTACTCCCCTTGCGCCTCAGCGCGGCGCAGCGCGGCCCGCCTGGCAGTTACAAACAGCGGGGGCGTTGGGAAATACATAAACAACGAGAGAGCCCGCGGGAGACGCCGGCTGTTATCGGGACGCACCCGCCCAGCGACGCTGAGAGTCACCGCGGGGGCAGCCGGCCCGGCCCGGCCCGCTCCCCCCTCAGGGCTCCTCAGGGGCGGGAGACCCCGCGGCCTACCCCCGCGGCAGGCCGGCTCCGGGACGCAGGAGCTGCCCCGCCCCCGCTCCCGCCCGGATTTACCG